AGCCCTGCAGAAAAGGACCTGGGGTCCTGGTGGATGAAAAACTTAACATGAGCCAGCCATGTGCCCTTGCGGCTCGGAAGGCAAATGGTATCCTGGGCTTCATCAGAAGAGGACTTGAAGTAAGAGGACTGTGGATTTTGTTCCCTTTCTCTTCAAGCTGAAGGGTTGGATGTGTGGATTCCTCTCCAAATATCAGGCCAGAACTGTGTGTGTCTGCTCAGCTTTCTAGTTAAGCCTTCTGCATCTGTCCAAGTCTTTTAAGTGATTTACTAGGGAGTTCCTGCTGTGACTCTTAGTGTTGTTGTAAGGAGCTGAAGAAAATGTAACTTTGTGAGGTTATTTTTAAGTGCAAAATAATACAAGTGTGTGTTTTATGATGAGAGGTTAAGAATAATCTTGTCAGTGCAGTGAACTGATAAAGTAGTTCCTCTTCCTAATCCCATATAGGAATTAGCCAGAAATCCAGAATCCTTGTTCAGTAGTGCTCACCAGTCCTGTAAGACTCACGATACAGCAGTAAGTGTTTGCTTCCTCCACATGCAGAGCAAGCAGTCATGGTAATCTGCTGTGTTTGGTCATGAGTTTCTTTCCAATGGAAGAAATTTCATAGAATCATAATTACAGAACATATTGAGTTAGAAGGGACTCACAAAGATCATTGAGTGCAGCTCCTGGCTCCACATAGGACCACCCAAAATCCAAACCCTGTGTCAGAGAGGAAAACTGCATTTTATTCTGTTATGTGCAGTCTGTGCGTGAGTGCTTTGATAACTATGTCTTTAATCTAGATTGGTTTCTAATGGTACACAGCTGCATCAAACATATAACAGTGAGTTACTATTAAAACCAAACCCAGCCTGTTTCATTCCTCATAACTGGAATGGCTGAATTGTGTTTGTGCTTTCTAACATGCTGCCAGCTTTGCTTTGTTTCTCTGTGTCCAAGAGATTGCATACATAGTCTTTGCTCCTTCGTATTTCATCTTTGTCCACTGCAAAGTCAGGAGCAATATCATCTTTGCTTATCTTTCTACAGTCTTTATTTTTAAGAGCATCTCTCTTCTGTTTCCAAACGGTAGCTGCCACATCTGCTCAGAATCCCTGAAAAACAAATAAGTGCTGCCTGAAAAACAAATAAGAAACCAAAAGGCTCTTTCTGTCCCCGAGCATCCTTTTCCCAAATTTGGGATCAGAGGCAAGAGAAGAATATGGACAAATGGGATTCTAAAATTGTTTCGTAACCCCAGTATCACAGCCAGTAAACATCTATACAGTGCCTGTATTCTCCCTGTTTTAAGGTAGTAGCCATCCAGAATGAATAGGGCTTGCTTATATTTGTGTTTGTTTTGGAGCTACTCGTCAGTGGTGAGTGGATGGCTGCTGCTGATGCAGTTCAGAACTCCAGAACAGAGGTTCTTGTTTGCTTTGACCCGATGAATGAAAAAAGATGGCTTGAGCCTGTTTGGGGGTTTTGCTCATCTTCCCTTGGAGGATGGGAATCTTGTTTTTAAAATGACATAAGTGTAAGAGTTCAACTTGCCACTAAAGCACATACTGCAGGATATCACTGTGGCCAGGACATCTGCAGGGGGTCACTTCAACCCGATAGTGCAAAAAGAGTTGGCAGTACTCATGGTTTTCCTCCTTTTCCTGTTGTGATTTTCTGATTTCCTCCCAAACATGTGTTGTTCAGCTTTTTTACTCAGAGACTCACAAAACAGGTTCCTACAAGACCTGTCTCACCTTTTCTGAACTATCCCATGGTGGTAACAGAAGAGCAGAGCACTGGCCAAAGCAGGCTGAGTTGCCAATAGGGAGCAAAAAGAATGCTGGAAGGGTTTTGTTTTTTCTTTTTCCACGAAAGCATGCAGTAGAATTTGATTCTGTTGCGATTGGAAATGTAAAAGTGAATGCTCTTCGTGAAGCCAGCCAGTTGCAGTTGGCAGCCTGCTCTTGTCCAAAGCCTGCTCTGCTTTTCTGCTCAGGCCTTGTGGGAAGTCTGGCTACAAACCCACTGCTCTTGCAGCAAGGAGCCATGTAAGAGTGCTGCGGAATGGTGTGAAAATGAACCAGTTTTGGTTTTGGGTGGAGAGAGAAAACTTTACAAAGGAGAGAGTGCAGCTTTAGATGGGTAGGTGCGGTGGCTGCACAGCACACTGCAGTTCTTCAGCTCCTTTACCTGCTGATGGGATCAGTGGGCAGACTGAGGAGCTGCAAAGTCACTTTGCAAAAAACTTCATCTTCAAAAATGGTAGGGGTCGATCTTTTTCCTCTTTGTCTCCCATGGACATTACAAATACACGTATAAATACAAATCACTCGGTTTGTCCCAGGCTGGGTTACGTAGGCTCTTGAAATAATAGTTAGAAATGCTGGAAGACGTGCAGCAGGGCTCAGGTCATGCCTTGGGTATTTCTGCAATACTAAGAATAATTCCTAGGCTGCTTCTTGCAGAAGGAGTGTTTATATTTAACCTGACATATGCACGACAGACTCGAAGGATTCTTTTATAACTTCTGCAGCTCTGACTCGGGGAGGTAATTCAAGGCTAGAAGAGTACTGCATCTTAAACTTTTATTTTTGGAACCGCTTAATCTAGCTGTAACACCTCACAAGGACGTGCAGTCCTCACAAATCCTTACTTCCTGCAAATCTCATTACTGCTGGGGGACGCTGGCAGGCAGCTGTATCTGGAGCAGGATGCAGAGAGGTGCCACTCGCTGTGGGCTGCCCCAGGGATGCAGAGCAGGTGAGGAAGATGTGGGGAAAGGAAGGGAAGCCTATGGGCGGCTTACCGAAGAGCTTGGAAATGGGGAGCCTGAACTGGATGGTCTTTGAGGTCCCCTCCAGCCTTAAGCCATTCTATGACTTGATGATTCTTAAGGATCCCTTCCAATTCAGGATATTCTGTGATTCATACTGGGAAAGTTGGTTTTCATCCAGATGAGTTTCTGGAATTTAGTAACGAATAATAAATTAAAAGAATAATTTCTAGTACAGTAGTTCATTTGTTGCCTTCTGGAACATGAAAAGTAATGTAGCATGTCATTGCCTAAATCACTTCCATTTTTCAATGCAGAAATAAAAGGAAGTGATCTGACACTGTGTTTTCTCAGGAGATAACCTCTCGACTGAGGACACTCTTGCAAAGCGGCCCAGATCAATGGGTAACACTATTGACCTATGCTTGCTGGTTACTTATTTATTTTTTATTAGTGAGTGGCAGATTGGGAGCAGATGCTGGCTTAGGTCCGTTCCAGGTCATAAACGGTACAGTGTTCCCCAGAGAGGGGATACTAATGAATATGCTAATTGTGTCTGAGTAATGCAGACTGAGAAATTTCAAATCGTTTGTGGCACAGCTCAAAAGGATATAAAGCTGGGGTATCTGGGTGGCAGTGGAAATCATTTGCTGTGCAGCATCCTTATGCAGAAGGGCTCTGTGTAGACTTGTTTATAAACAAGAGCATCTTGGCCTGGGAGAGACTCTGGGCAGAGCAGCCAGTTACAGAAGATCAGGACAAGGAGGTACACAGAGCGGCGGTAGCGATGGGGGAGGAGAGCCAGAACTGCAGAGCTTTGCTGAGGGGACATTTCGGAGGCACAAATACACATATCGTGATATAGAGAACGATATATATTATAATTAATATCCCTGGTAGCTCTAATTAATATACAGTAAGTACATGCATTGAAAGCCATCTTGGATGCTGCCCCTTGCACGTGACTTCTCCCTGCTGTGATCTGGCAGCAGTACCCCAGCTGAGTGCTGCATGCAGCCCAGCTGCCTGGCCTCCATCTAACAAACCTGAACACAACTGGAGTTTATGCTGAGGCATAAACTGCTCGTAGCTCTGCTCATTCAAGGAGCGATGGACGCACGGTCTCTGGCTGTGAGCTTTTTGCTGAGCAGCTCCTGGAGAGCAGCGTGGTGTCTGGTTGCATTCTCACTGAGATCCTGGCATTTGCTCTGCTGCACTAATTAAAAATAGTGGCTGCTGTTGATTTCAGGGTATCAGGTGATGGCATGGGGTCCTTGTTCCTCCCAAGGACACTCAGTGGTGGCGATGTGAAGAAATTTGTGCTCCTGTGTCTCAGGAACACCAAAATAAATGGTTTTCAGATGTATGAGTGGAGCAAGAAGGGGAGCAAAGAGCAGCAGGCTTGTTCTTTTGTCTCAATTGGATTCCTTGCTTTTTTCTTGCACGAAAGCAGCATTTTAAGCAAAGTTTACTTCACGAGTTAACATTACTCTTCCTGTGCTCCAGTTCACAAATGCACACAGCACTAACGTGTGTACAGAGAGATTTGGTGTTGGCTGTGAGCTCAGGGTGTAGCTCTGTGTTTGTTTTCAGTGTACTTCCTCGTTGCTTTGGCTGTGAAGCACGTCAGAGACAGGTGGGTAAAGCAGTGCATCCCGTGGCAGTGGCTCCTGTTTGTGGACAGAATTTGCTCGTCATTCCTCAGTGAGAACAAAGAAAATAAGGGTCACAGACAGTGGAGTTCCAGCTCCTGCAGGTTGAGTGTAATGCTGCTTTGTGCCATGAGTGGATGTTCTGCAGCTGGGACAGCACAGTACCAAGTAGTTCTACCCAGCTCATACGCAGGCAGTCAGCACAGCACAAGGGCACCTTCCCAGTTTGCTTCGTGAGGTAAAAGCTACCATTCAAGCTTCAGTGCGTTGGTGGACACCTCAGCATGTGGGTTCCTTGGGCATCCATGTGACTCTTGTCCTCTGCTGGGCTACGTGAGCTCTGATAAACTGAATAGGAGACGATTTGGTAGGTACGAATGTTGTTTCATGTACAGTGATGATCCTTGGCTAAGAGAAGAGCTGTATGACCACAATGCAGGCATCTTCACTGCGTGGTTTAATTTACTGGAACTTGGGACACATGGGCTGAACGTGCCTTTGTATGTTCAGCTGTATGTGGGCATTCTCCTCAGTTCTGTGGAAAATAACTTCTACTGCCTACTGAACAACGGCTTCTTCTCTTCAAGATTATTACAGTCCTGCAATGCTGGGTCTGAAAACCGACCAGGAAGTCCTGGGAGAGCTGGTGAAGATGAAAGTTCCAGCTGTGGCCGAGCTGATGGAAAGACATGGAGTCATGTGGACCCTTGTGGTGTCACGCTGGTTCATCTGCTTGTTCATTGACATCCTTCCAGTAGAGGTAATTGCTGACATTCATCTCAGTGTGCATTCGTGCTTATCGTTTCCTTTGTTAGCAGTAATTTCCTACGAGCTGTAATCTGGATTCTCTCCTTTTCTGCAGACTGTGCTCCGAATATGGGATTGCTTGTTCTACGAAGGGTCAAAGATCATCTTCCGCGTGGCCTTAACATTAATTAAGCAACATCAAGCTTTTATTTTGGAAGCCACGAATTTCCCCGACATTTGTGACAAATTTAAGCAGATCACCAAAGGAACGTTTGTAACAGAGTGTCACACTTTCATGCAGGTAAATTCTCCACAACCTTTAGTTAGGAATGAATGGGACTGACTTAGAGATGTTTTCTGCATTCAGAAAGGTACATATCCTCCCATCCTTCTTACCAGGTGAGGTAAGGAGGGATCTTGACAAGAATAGAATTTTGGTGAACTGTGGATTGTCTGTTCCTGTGGTTTTCCTCGGGTGAATTACAGGAGATGGGCGTAGGACAGACGCTCTAAACGTGCATGGATAAATCTTTGTAGTAGAAGGATCTAAAGCACTGTCAGAACAAAAAGGCAGCAGGCAGCTCATAATCTCCAGTCTGAAAGCCTTAAGTACCAGAGCCTTATGGCAACCTGCAGACTAAGAACTATTCTTGTAAGTTATGAATAGTGAATGCCAGGTGTGTATAGAATGGAAGATTCAGAGCTTAACTCAGAAGACTGAAATATAAGGACAACAGGAGCAGGTCTGTCACCACCCACTCAGTGACCTCTGCCACTGCTGTTACTGCAGTGCATAGAGCACAAAACAGGAAATGGCTTTTTGCCCCCTGAAGTTTGGTGCCCCTCTCAGAGCTCCGTGCATGGCTCTGGCACATCTATGGTAGGTTTCATTTTCACTTACAGACAAGGAAGCTAAACTTAACTATGAGTGCTTATGAGTCGTTTAATTAGAGAGCTGATGGGAAAGGTAAATCACAGGTGTAGCTTAATTTAAAAGGAAGATGGTTGAAGGGTTTTCCCTTCCATAAAGAGCCTAGAATAAGAGGTTTGTTAAACATTAACCATCATGAGAATACCAGCTCAGAAGCCGATGCAAACACCTGTCCCTGAAGGACATTTTTTTTTCTTTTCCTGCCCCTCCCTTTAATGCCACTGCATTTTACAGTGGCTGCCTTTAGAAAAGCCACCACTTTTTTCTTGCAGTTACACTGAATGAAAGTATCAGGGTTTCTTATTTTCCAGCAGAGTTTAGTTAGAGTAGTGACTGGCAGGAGCAGGCTTCCATGGCAGGCAGATAACCAGCACAGCTCAGGTTCCTGTGTGCCACTGAAGCACGTGCTTTGGTTTCGTTCTTTGCAGAAGTACAGATAGTAGTACAGGAGGTAGTGAATGACAGTGGGTATTTTACATCTCCCTCTTGAACAAGCCCATAGTTTTCAATTTAAAGCTATGCAGACTTTGTTATCAGATGCTGTTCCGAACTGGCACGTTTATAACCTCATCTTCAGAGTTGTCAGTATAAGTACAGGGAAGTGAGAGCCCACACATCTCATCTGTAGACTTAAGCCCATAAACTTGCAGTTTGCTTCACATTCTGTTCAATCAGAGGTTTTAAATCAAGTAGTGAAACATGTATTAGTCTTGAGATCTCAAAAGCCTCAAGCAATAACAGGAGAAGTTTTTATAGCATTTAAATTGTCTCAAATTTTTACATCTATGTACACTGCTACCCCCAAAAGCCTACTAGAACAGGACAACAGTAACACAGTATGGGATTAACACGAGTTTTTCCTGTTGGCAACAGACTGTTGTATGTGAAAAATGAATTAACCAGGATGGCTTCATATGTTCTGAGTCCAGAGATGTGTTTTAATTTTGGAGTGGTTCTTTGTGGAGCCAGGAGTTGGACTGGATGATCTGTGTGGATCCCTTCCAACTCAGGACACCATGTCTGAGGCTATGCATAGCATCCAATGCCACAAATACCTTCTAAAAGAAGTTTAACTGGAGGCTTACATTCAAACTAGCTTTTGTACCATTGCTTTTGTATAACTTGTAAAGCAGCAGCTCAGAGTGAGTGCTCCAGCATGTCTTTACAAAGGAGTAGATAAAGATTCTTCCCTGTTTTGAGGAGGCCAAACAGCAGTAAGCAATTTCACATCATGGCTACCAAAGGAGAAATCTCACACATCTCACAGAGAATTTTGTGAGAATTCCTGCACATTGGCTAAAGACTCCATTTTAACAGGATTTTCTCATTTTTGCCCCCAGAAAATTTTCACAGAACCTGGCAGTCTGTCCATGGCAACAATCGACAAACTCCGAGAGACGTGCAGAGAGAAGGTGCTTTCTCAGGGATAGCTCAGCAGCAGGAACCAGGCGCTCAGACTCCAGAAATGGACACATTCCTCTTTTTGCACTGACTAAAGCACACTTTAAGCTTTCCATGAGTTAACTGACACTTGACCAATTTTTTCCTGCCTTCCAAGTAAGTGTTTTTAACGCTTTGTACTGTATGTCAGACTTGATAACTGGAACTACTGCAACTGGTGAATTTGTCATTATTTTTTAAGAATTGAAGTGTTTTCAGAGTAGAATGTGATCAGTGTAAGGACACTCCTCTTGAAGTCACTGTCCTTGTCTTTTCAGGGCGTTTTGTAATGTTGAAACAGGTGTATAGAATTACATATCCTTCGTATTGTATTAACTATGACACCTCTTACCATTTGTACAAAATAAATCTAATTTAATTTGTCAGAGCCTTTTTTCTGGTGTTTTGTATACTCACTTAAGGTTTTCTGGCTCAAAAGCTGCAAGGGCGCAGCACATAACAAGAGATTTGACTCAAATGTAGAAGTAATATTTCTCACTCTGTACAAGGGAGGCTGTAAGTAGACACTGTACTTCTACTTTGTTCCACGCTGCTACTTTATTCTAAGGTTACACTACAGACGCTATATCCTCACATACCTGTGCTCTTGGGAAGGATGCACTTGCCCAGTCGTTAGCTGTGAGCAGACTTCCTTCTTAATAGGACAAAGCACCAGCCAGCTCCAAAGCCATTCTTGAATGCAAGTCCAAGCATCTTTCCACCTCCTGGCAGGAAGAAGCAAAGCAGCAGCCCTGCCCTGCTGAATGGCTCTGTCCTCACAGAGCCCTCTTGTGGCCACATCCCTTCCCTCACCTTCATGCTTTAAAAAGAAAGCTGTCATTCTGAATACAGTTCAACACACCAAAGCCTGAGCAGGCTCGCATCCCAACAGATGGTAAGAAGCTGACTTCACTGAGTATCCTACCACCATTTTCAGAAAGCAATGCTGAGCAGGGCAGGCCTTTGTGCTGATATCTCTCAGCAAGCTACAATTTCATGTAAGCATCATCCTCCCCAGCTTACTGACACACAGCAGCTTTCCCTGTTGCCAAGGACAACTTCCACAACAGCAGGAAGTGCCACTTCAAACTGCTGTATACAGGTAAACGCCACCTTTGTGGCAGAGAAGAAGGAACAAAGCTCTGGTTTAACAATCCCACACTAAGGATGACTGAAAGCTCTAAAAGTAGAGCCAAACCAAGACTACACACACATCAAGTGGCCAACTGTTTTTTAGAAACTGATGAGCAACGCAAGGGTATACAGAAAAAAAGTGTCTTTATTAGCATTGTTACAGGCAATGCATACATAAGAACTGATCCTTAAAGTGTACAACCCCCCAGCCAAGTTTAAAGCAAGAGAATCAGCAGATTGAGACCTATATTGTACACATGTGCAGTAACAGGATCTCTCTGGACCTTCCAACAGAAGAGACTGAAATCACTTTACAAAAAAATGTAAATAAAAATAACACCCATTTTAAAAAAGTACCAGCTCCTAACAAGCTGGCAGAGCATCAAAAATATCAAACAGGGGAGCTGTCCAATCGTATAGAGTTCCTGTAAGGTTTGAGTATTGCGTTGTTCACACCCTGCATATGCCAGGCATCGTGTTTAAAGCTTAGTAATACAAAATACACACCCTAGAGATGAGGTGGGGTTTAGATCAATTTCAATTTTGTCAGTTGTTACTGACTCTCTGTCAATGCACCATCAGTATTGTTATCATCACTGGATGGCAGCAGTGCCAATCGTGAATGTTTTCCCTTTGTTAAGAGCTCTGAAATTGAGTCAATGTAGATTAGTGACATCTCTCTCCAGCATCTTTATGCTGACTTTACCCTCCAATTAAAAAAAAATCATCCTTTAAAAAAAAAAACCAAAAACTTTTAGCTTGTTTCTAAGTGGGTAAATATTTCAACTAGTTAGCAAAATTAAACACCAGAATTTTCAGAAGTTATTTTTGTGCATAGTTAAATGCTGCAAGATGATTTCACATTTAATAAAGCAGACTTTTAGAAGCATTTTGCAAGAAAAGGTGTTCCCTTACGATATCGATCTTAGCTCGGGGAGAGATAGGGGTGTTTTTTTTTTTTTTCCAGCTTCTTGCAATTGCTTTTCACCTACACTGGAATTTAGTGCAAGTCATTAAATTGTTTGGTACCCAGCGTGGCTCCTCTTTCTACCAATCAAGTAAGCAATCAGGACAATTAGAACCAGACCAGCAAGGGCTGCACCAACTATTATAGGGATCAGCATGTTGTTTTCATCCAGCTGACATTCTTCCACTGAAGAGAGAGAAAGAGTTACATTAAGCACCAGTGCAAGTACCTATCCAGGCAGACACCTCCCTTGAGCTGTTTTGCTGTAACCACAGTCACAAAGAACAGCACTAACCAGAGCACCAAGGAACTTCCCAGACCTTTTCCCCTCTCACACAACTGTCTGGGCACTGTTAGGAAGGTAAGTTAATGCTCCTCCTTAACTTATTATAATGAGTCCCAGTTATTCCAAAGCTGCTTTTTACAGACTTGTCACACTAGCCTCAATTCAAACACCTTATCAACCCCCACAGCAATACAGCACACAGAGACTAAGCATAGCATTTTCTTCCTTGACTACAAACTTAGGTTTTTCATAGATTGCAGTTCCCTCCACCCCCATATCAAAATACAAACCTCTTACCTGCCCCAAACTTGTCTCCATCCACCTTGAAAGCCTGGACCTGAACATTAAATACATTGACAAGGGCTTTGTCTGTGACCTGGAGATTCTCCTCTGCACTGCATTTGTAGGAATTCCCCACCGTAGCTCTCAGTTCACTCATGCTGTCATTTGATGCTTCAAACACTGGAGCTGTGTAAGACAAAGTCTTATTAAAGAATCCTGAAAAGGATATTTAATATTTAAGGAAGCTGGGAGCTCACTGAGCTTTAAATTCAAAAGACATTCCTCCCCAGAATTCCTAATGTGTTCCTTAATGCAGGCAACCCTTAATATTAAAGGAAGTGGTCACTGAAAGTACACTTAAGAAGTCCCTACCTTTTGCTTCAGAAGGCAGAGTTGTGCTGACATTCACACCTTGCAGGAAGAATTTCTCACTACTTGCATTCTTTTAAACAAAGAAAAAGACACCAGTAGTTTTCATTGAAAATAATGCTGTTCAACACAACCTTCGTTGTGTGAGGCTATTCCCCTCTGCTACACCAGAATTGTTCCCAGCTTGGGTAAAAAACTTTACAGGTTCAGCAATTCAAATCCTGATCCAAGCAGAATGTGTGTACATTCTTTCCTCATAAGAGTTACTAAGAATTAAATCCCCTATATTGTAGTATTAAAACCAAAGTCATTACTCATTACCCCTCCCATAATTGGAGCTTTTAGCTATAGTAATTGACCAAGTTAATATACCCACATCAAAAATACTGCTGAGATCTTACGTGCTTTGTCTAGAGATCCTTACCAATACAAAGTGGAAGGTGATCTTTGTTTTCTCAAAAGCCAGATTCAAGAAGGCAGATGTATTCTCACATGTTCCAGAAGCATTTGTATTATGTGGTACAAAATTCAGCAGATCCAACCCCACCTATGAGAAAAGAGGACCAATTATGATATCTATTCTTTAAGAAACTAATTACCACTACATCATTAGGAAACTTCTAGTTTGCCTGCACTCACATGTATACAATGCTCTACTGACCTACATATTTTAAGGGCAAAAGGGCAGATATGCATGTAAGCTACACCTGAGATAATTTGTGCTAGAGCTACTGGGCTGGCACAGAGAAAGAATAACAGGCATATCTGCATTCTTGCTGAAGCTCCCCAAAGCCCCAACTGCTGCTTTCTCCATGCTAAACTTCTTTGCTCCTAGCAGCACAGGGGAAACATCACTTACCACCACTACAGTGGGAGCAACAAGCTACAAAATGCTGCCATTAAGGGTGGTCACCTTGCAAGTCACTTCCACACAAAATGCTTTAGCTTTGCTCACAGTATATGATTTTATATTGTCCTGCATCTGCAGACAACTACGTGTTAAATGCACTTGCTAAAAAACCAAACAAATCATCAGTAGCTCTTAGACATTAGCTAAACCTCTTGTGACTTTGGAAAAATCAATTTTACCACCTCCTCACTGGTTGATAGATCAGCTACCAGCCAGTCCAGCTGTGTGAGAATGCCATGCAATGGGAAGCAGCTCAGGGAATGTGGCACCACATGGCTTAAACACAGTTGCCAACATAGCTATCCACTGTACAGCCACACATCAGCTGGGATCCAACTTAAATTTGCAGCCTTCATTTGTTTGCCCACAGTCACCCAACATCAACTCAGATAAAGCCACAAGATAGGGAAAAAGCTTGCAACAGAAGCTCCCTACAGTAAACATGTAGGTTTACTGAGTCTTGGTTGTTGTTTCCTATCAAGGGCCTTCAGCAGTCCTTGGGATTATGGCTCATAACTTTGCCTTACTGGCTAATGAGAAACAGGTTTGTTCACAAGACTGACAAGCCAGGCTTTGTAACAGCAGTGGAATCAAAGAGCCTACACCAAGACTGCAACTTACGCAATCCATGCAGCACTTTTACCAATGAAATTAAATTAATTCTTGATATTAAGTAATAGAATGGCTTGGGCTGGAAGGGACCTCAAAGTCCATCCAGTTCCAACACCCCGCTGTGGGCAGGGCTGCCAACCACTAGATTATATCATTACAGTTGAGTCAAATATTCTTTGGTATCAGCTGGAAGTTAAAGAAGTAATTTTTCGGGCAGTTCTGGGTCCCTTAAAATTTTGTCAAGTCTGTCTAGTTTTACAATGGCAATTATCTTTCCTTCTAACATTGCTTCACTTTTTCATTTAGGCACTTCAAACTAAATTCCTCTATTTAACAGTTCAGATACCTTGTTTAGATGGAATCTTTGATATAGGATCCACCTAGTCATATTTTTATCATTTTTACTGTTCCTGTGGAATGGCCACATACACTAACTGGATTTGACAGACAAGTTTAGTACTCTTACTGAAGAAAAAAACAATATTTAAATGACCTCTTTCAGCACTGCTGAGTTTAACCAGACCCAAGCATAAGCCAAGCTAAGCAATTCAAATAGAGGACAATAATGGATGAACCCCATGAAGAAACAAACAAACAAAAAATAAATATGTTTTATGGAAAAGAAATACCCCTTATTTGGCAAGTCTTCTCTAAACAATCTCAAGGTTTTGAAGAAAAATGTACCTTTTCATCTTTTTTTAGATAGGTGATGTTAAGCTGTAACCCCATGGAGGCAAGGACACATGTTCCATTTGGATCAGTCACATTGTATTTGCCAACGGCAGGATTTGAGGGTGCTGCAGTTGGTGCTGGGCTAGTTGTTGGAACCTGGCTAGTAGTGTGTTTTGGAGTTGTTGGTGCTACAGTGGTAGTAGAGACCATATCTTCACTACATTCTGTCTCTGAAAAGAAAGGAAAACACACAGTCACCACCAAACAGTTACAGGATTATCTGCCTTTCTCATCCTTGAGGGAAAGGAGGGCAATTTCAAGTAGCTTTTCTTAACAGAAGGTAATAAAAGCTGACAAACAATAACAGAAACATTACTTGAACTCTGTTTCAAAGTTTAAGAATCTCTTAAAAGCTAGCATATGAAAATAATACCTCTGCTTTTATTTACAGAAGTTCATGATGCCTGCATCTGTTTTACTCGTTTCTATCATTTTACTTCACAATCAAATCAGTACAAACATGAGATTCCATGTTGACAGAGCCAGCATTCCTGCTGTCTGCTCACTGCAAGGCTTCAAGGACTCCCCCTGTTGGACATCATAGGCAGCTATGAGCCAGAAGCAGAATAATTCTCATGCCTGGTATCAAAAGCAGTCTCCCAGGGGTGCGTTGTTCTCATTCCCCTCTGTTCACTACCATGTCATGAGAACCCTACTTCTTCATTGTGTCAATACTCACAGTAACATAAGAATACCATACTGGACCTGTCGAGTTCTCACTCGACTTCTCATACTCAGCAATACTGTGATACTTCCACCTCTAATGTAATTGCAAGACATTGTTTCTGGTGGCAAGGGTTCTCCTGTATCCTTTCCATTTGGGTTTCATGTCCATCCTCTCTCCACTCCTGTATTTACAGCTACCTATCACCTGAGGTGCAGGGCTGAGTGAAGATGACTGCCTGACTTCTCAGCCAGTTTCAGCACCAGCTCCCACAGTAAAAGGAGAGGGGTAGAACAGTGGTTTCATTTGCCAGAATATTCACAAATACCTGGCAGCAGAAACTGAGCTTGTGGATAGCCAAGAAGCTTCCTGCATTGAGGATTTAAGCCAAAACCAAAGGTCATAGCAAAGACGTTACTGTAACACAGGCTTCCCTGTTCCAAGTCAAGGTCATCTCCCTGTTTTATGGAGAACTTGCAACTTTGTAAGGATGTCAGTAACTACAACAGCCTCACAGTCCATACCTATCCTGCAGATAATGGGTAAGTAATGAATAGCCTCTGTACTTAAAAAAGCAACTTAGCTTTTCATTATGACTCAGAAGAACTCTAAACACAGCCTAATCACATCTTGTGAACTCCATCACAGAACAATCCATTTCCTACTCCATTTTCTACTCCATTTCTGGAAGGGGGGAAGAGCAGAGAGAAGGTGGATGAATGGAAGAGTGACCCTACCTTCTGTCAGGTCATTGGATACTGTTCAGGTCCCAGAATGTGGTGATGTCCAAATAAACCAGGCAGCCAGTTTAAATGCTACTTCAATGGACAATTTCCTACTGTCTGCAAAGCCTCAACATATACAGTCTTACTAAACTTGTCAGAGACACAGACTTCAAGAGGTAGTTTGTTCTAGGTGGAATTTTGATATAGTGTATTTACTGACTAACTTACAGCATAGCTCCTACTGGCTCTGCAGAACAGATGTGGAGGCAAGATGCTCTTGTCTTTTTCTGACAGTTACAGGAAAGCAGCTGACAATTCTACTGACAGATAAAATTAAAGCTCTCTTTCTTCAGAGCTGAGAATCACTGCAGCAACTTCGGTCATTAACTTGTACATACACTGCCAGAAATAACTACTACTATTACAGATGCACTGATTACTGACTCTACTTCCTTTCAGTGATCACTGCTCAGATCACTAGCAGAAATACCCACTAATGGAAAGAACTGTTGATAAAACAAAGGAAAGTTAAAGGAGAATTCCAGATTGCACGTTGATCAATAATGAGCTGCCAAAAGGCATGGGGAAGTCTCAAGCCTGAGAGTGGAAAGAAGGAACTGATCTGGAGAGAACAAGTTGTTTTCAGGATCGAGACAAAAATGATAAAGAACTCTTTAACTATCTGAAATAGAAATAAGCAATGGAGACAGCTCATTATGCAGTACAAATGGAAAAACTACATAAATACTGTGTGTAGTTTCAAGAAATTAATAGAAAATAAGGGAAGGTATTAATTAAAAAGAAAAAGCTGAGCATGGCAGTGTGGATTACAGTAATGTGGAAGTGAAAAAAAACCACCCCAAAACCAGAAGCATGAACTAAAACCAAACAGTATCACCAGATGATAAAGTCCTATTTGCAAACATTGATGGTTTCATCAAGATAGTAATATCACCAGACAGAAAAAACCTTAAAAAAAATGAAGTAACTAGTAAAGCAGATGTCGATGAACTTGTGTTCCATAAGGAACACTCACTCAAAATAATGCAGTACTGCCTTGCAGTTTAACTGAAGGACTGTAAGAATAGGCAGTAAAAAGATGGTGCTGAATAGGCAGTAAGGAGATTTTATTGAAGTTCTGCAGAAGTTAAGTAGCTTTTCCCAACATCATGGCTCGTGTTAAAGCCTACTTGTAACTGCTTACATGCTTACCCTGTACGCCTGGATAACTGCACCAAGACACTTACAATTGGACTGTTCTGAAGACTGAAGTAATAGAAACCATATTTTTTAAATTACAAACATGTCCACAGTTGTGCTGCAGACTAGCTCACTGAAGGGAAAAATCTGATTGAGGGAATGATACATGTTGAAAACCGAGTCTGTAATGTGAGACAGCCATGAAAAAAAAAAATCAACTCCAGTATTACCATGCATCAGGCCAAGTATTTTGCAGAGATGGGACAAAGTACAAATACTCCCATAGAAGGCAGTTGTTCAATGCATCACTGTATGCCAGCACTGATTACTCTGGTTTTAAGATTCCTTTCAACTTCACTAGTGCACAAATGGGATTAGCAGCATAGGGAAGAAGAATTCCAAGTCACCTTGAGAAGATGAAGACTTCTTACTTGTCTTAAAAGAAGACATACTTACCACTCCCTAAAATGCCATGGGCAAACAAGAGCCATGTAAACTGAAGAATACTGCCACAAAAACAGAGCATGAAAACACTGTGAAGTAGCCTGTTTTCTACTCATTACAGAAGTGTAAATTCTATAATGGTTTTTAATACAAAAAGCCTTTGGGAACTGTGGCTGAGATAACATTTTCATAGCTTGTATAAATCCATCTACAGGAAGTTTTAGGTACCCTCTGCCTACAGACCAATTTACAGCTGTCCTATACCACCTATCTTCCCCAGGCCACACAGTAACCAGTTCACTGGTTACTGTGAACCAGTTCATTACTTGGGTAGAGAGCAATACTTCATAGGGATGAGATACTCCCCAAACCAGGATCTGGGCCATGTGCCCAGCTGACCTACAACAGCAGGTGTTTTACAGCCAGAAGGGATCACAAGCAGGAGAAACATTCCCTGATGCCTGCACAGAACTCCCAGAAACACAGTGCTTGGCTCTTTAAGCCATGAACACTGACACACCCAGAGGAAACCTGAAGCAAGTTTATTCATTTCAGCAGATTCTGCTATCAGCTTCAAGTCAACAACCGCCTAAATAGGTAGAATCAAGACTTAAAAGTAACACCTATTATTGGAAATATTAGCCCACCAAGTACATTTTCTGTTACGAGATACCTACTGTTTGTACTGAAAGTGCCATTTGTGGGATAGGCTTCCAAAGTAACATTGCTGAAAGTAACGTTCACATGCCTCATATGGATGTACTTGGAGTTGATGCATCTGTATTCTGTGCCAATACGGGCCTGAATAACAGATTTTTGTGTCGCTTCCATCACTTTTCCTGTGAAAAGAGCACATGGCATTAGTATGTAAGAGTTTTTATGGAAACAAATCAGTATTACATCTGCAAGGCTGACATAATAAGAACAGGAAGTTTTCATTTTTACCTTCGGATGCATTAGGGAATAAAGTTTCATCAGACAGATTGTAGTGGAAAGTCAGCTCTTCAACTTGGTACTTATCCAGAGTTTTTGAGAAATTCAGACTTATCAAGTGTCCTGCTCCAAAACTCAATGCTAGAATTGGATGAGATGTGTTACCTTCACCACACGAGCTGTGTGACTGTGATGTGGCATTTTGAGGAAGAAAGAAGTGTGCAAACTGTGGGGTAAGAAAACAACACACAAAAGGGACAACATTACAGCTTTTCCTTACTGCTTTTCAAATAACCTATGAACCTGCCTCAAAACATACAAGTGACTTTCAAACATATTATAAGGTGTTTACTTACTTACCAGTATATAGCAAGTAGCATATTAATGGCACTCAGATTTCTAAGAATAATGCTCTCTGAAATTTGAGGACAAAAAACTGTACATCCTCACATCACCTATTAGATTTCCCCCCTTAAGCCAGTGCAATGAATTTGCAGGTGCACCCACACCAGGTGAATCAAATTGCAAATTCTGGACATGTGAAAGATGGGAGAGTTTTAAGTTTTGCTTCCTGTAGTGTGACTGAGAAAGAACAAAAGCAAATGGCAGTCTATGCAGTTTGGATATAATTCTGAGTTTAATACATATTGGCAAAGTAACTTGACACCTGAAGACAAACAGCATTCACTGGAAAGTTTGAGTTTATGGCTTAACAAGAAACAGCCAATGTATGTTATGAAAGCAGTTACCTCTGAATTTAAATTTGTATAGCACCATCAGCAGGATTTCAGACCATCAGTGCTGGAAAATGGACTACACAGTTCAAATCACACAAAGTATAAGCACTGGCAAAGCAGCTGGATGTTTTAATTGCATATTAACTTGATGACTAGGAAAAAATATCAACAGGAGTGCCTTGAAACACACAACCTCAATAAGATTATAAATAATCAGCAATTCCTGCCTAGTAGTAAAGATGCCAAAGTCAGTAAATTGAAAAGCTGAGTATTTGCAAATAAAGACTCTTAAATTTTCAGTTAAACTTTGTTAATAGACTGCAAGCCTGCAGATATACTGGAACCTACAGAGACCAGCTAAGGGAGCAGATCACAGGTTTCAGAGTTTGAAAGCTCCATGCCAGTGGCCATTTCACTTCAGATTTAGTCAATCTAAGTAACTCGCGATGATCACATTCACTACTAAAAAAAACTGGTAGCATTTGCTTTCATTTACAGTCACAATGAAAGACCTTTCAGCTACCAATAGGACTTATGTGGAATTTCAGTCCAAGTTCCACACCTCTGTTATTGTGGTAATTTCAGGCAGCCTGTTCTTTAATTACAGGAAACATCAGTAATAAAGGAGAAGTTGATGCAACATGACTGGAAGAGGGGAATGTTTGCAGAAGCAGTTTTTCAAGCTTAAATATTTGTTCAGAGTTTCAATAGTACACACTTACAAAAAGACCCCACACATGGTACAAAATACACGAGACAAGAAGGGAGGTGCCTGCCATTACCTGCTTTTGCCCATTGCTTTTGTATTCCACTGAGAAGGCTACTGTCAGGTTAGCAATTATGCAGACTTTGCCTGTTGAATCTCTCACATCAAATGAAGAGGAAGCCTGTAAAAAGCCTGTAAGAGCAACAAGTAGTTAAACGGGGGTCACATAAGATTTAATTTTTCAATCCAAGCAAAGTCAAGCATGTACAACTTCATTTTGAAGACACATCCTGAACAGCAGTAGCTTTTAGAGACCATAACGACTAAGTTTCCATAGTAGCCTCAGCATCAATAACCAAGAGAACATATTTAACACCCCATTTATAAAAGACAAAGCTGCCCAGAGCAAAGCTGTTGACATGCTGGGTCCTCAAAGCATAAGAAAAGCTTGTAACAAGTGCATCAGTCATGCTGTTCAAAGCAACAACTCCATGTTCACCCTGCACAGCAAATATTTTGCAAGCTTCAGCCAGAACCAACTTAACACATGAGGTCCTGCAGCCCTATACTGCTCAGCCATCCCTCAAAAATCCTCTCTTCCCACTGTACCAAGACACTCAGCTGCACACACACTGAATGCAGCAGTTAGCGGGCTTGCACTGACTGCAGATATTTGGGAGGCACTGCCAAAGGCAGCATGATGGAGAGTGCCCCGCTTGCCAGGGAAGCCTCTCCTGCCTGCCATCACACTCCTTGCACTTGAGAGGAAGATGGGGACCAAGACCTTGACACAGACAGAGGTCACGGCTTCCTGCCTTTAAGCCAATTTCAGACAGAGCTGCTGACTAAAGCAGGGCTTCTCCTCTGCTTGGAGCCTCACATGCTACTACTGCCTGTGCAGGGTAGGACTGCGTGGTTGGAGAAGCACAGGATCATCCTCTGACAGCACAATGGACTTCTGTACAGGCTGCCACTGATGACCTTCACCTGGGGCACATGTACTGGCAGAGTGCTGGCTATCCTCAACTTCATTTGCACTAAGAGCCCCACGGACAGTGCTCCTGCATCTACGTTCAATTGCATCTGCTCAAAGCTCTTCGCTGCAGAGCCTTTTTTCATGTTCCTGATTGTCCCCACACACCCAAAACAAACCTCACCACAAGAAGCCTGCACTGTTTTCTGCTATTGCTTTGTCACCTCATAGAAAACCTGAAAAAAAAAAAAGCAGCTGCAAGACAAACCACTCCGTTTATCACAAGCAAATAAGCTTTAAAGAGTCAAACATGCTAATCCATTCCACTGCTGATATAGCAAAAAGATCCAGCAGAGGGATTATCCATTAGATAGCTTTCCCACTCTCAAGAGGTTTCTAAAAAGCAAATCACAACTTGAAAACTTTTTGCTACAGGACTACACTGCATACAATAGCATTATGGCAACCAGGACAAACTGGGCTTTTATCATCTGGACTGCTTAGAATAAAAGAATGGTTTAGGTTGGAAGGGACCTTTAAGATCACCTATAATTCTACCCCTCTGCTATAGGCAGGGATACCTTCCACTAAACCAGGTTGCTCAAAGCCCCATCCAGCCTGGCCTTGAATGCTTCCAGGGAGGGGGCATCCACAACCTCACCGGGCAACCTGTTCCAGTGTCTCACCACCCTCATTGTAAAGAACTCCTTCCTAATATCTGGTCTAAATCTACACTCTTCCAGTTTAAAGCCATTTCCCCTCATCCTCTCACTACGTGCTCTTAAAAAAGTTCCTCTCGAGCTTTCCCCCTTCACGTACTGGAAGGCTGCTACAGGGCTCCCCCAGAGTCTTCTCTTCTCCAAGCTGAAGAGTCCCAGCTCTCTCAGCCTGTCCCTGAAGGGGAGGTGCTCCAACCCTTTGATAATCTCCATAGCCCTCCTCTGGACCCACTCCAGCAGCTCCACATCCTTTTTATGTTGGGGCCCCAGAACTGGACACAGTACTCCAGGTGGAGTCTCACAAGAGCAGAGCAGAGGTGCAGAATTACCTCCCTTGACCTGCTGGTCACATTTCTCTTGATGCAACTCAGAATATGGTTGGCCTTCAGGGCAAGTGCACATTGCTGGCTTGCATTGAATCTTTCATCAACTGACAACCCTAAATCCTTCTCCTCAGAGCTGCTCTCAAGCCATTCTCCACCCAACCTGTATCTGTGCTTGGGATTGCCCCAACCCAGGTGCAGGACCTTGCACTTGGCCTTGCTGAACTTCTGAGGTTGGCATGGGCCCACTTCTCAAGTCTGTCTATGTCCCTCTGGATAGCATCCCTTCCCTCTAGGGTGTCAACTGCATCACCCAGAGCTTGGTGCCAGCTAAAAACTTGCTAAGGGTGCGCTTAATTTCACAGCCATGTCACCTACAATGATATTTAATAACACCAGTCCCAGCACAAATCCCTGAGGAACACCACTCATCACCTGTCTCCACTTGGACATTGAGAGACTGACCGTAACTCCGAATGCGATCATCCAGCCAAGTCCTTATCCAGCCAGTGCTCCATCTATCACATCCCTTTTTCTCCAATTTGGCGACTAGGATGTCATGAAGGACAGTGTCAACACTTTGCACAAGTCCAGGTAGATGACATCAGTTGCTCTTCCTTTATCCACTGATGCTGTAACTATTATGAAAGGCCACTAAGGCCATCAGCACACATAGAAAGCACTTCAGTTGTAAAGAACACACTGGAAACAATTTCTCTGGCACTGAGTAAGCATTTTCCCTTGTTGTTCTTCCTCAGCAACAGTTTCCTTCATCTCCAAGGACAAGAATGCATCTCCCCCAAAAAAGGTGACCAAAACAATTCAATACAGTACTAGAAATAATTGATGCTCCTCCACACAGCAGTTTCAATTTGCAAAGTTTCCTTCAAGTTGAATTTACATTTGGAACTGTTTACATGGTACCCAAGCGCTTGTTTTCTCAAGAAAGTGTAAGCAGCTCTGTTCTTGAAGTTTTCTAGCACTGCATAGAAAACAGCATAGAGGCAGAGAACGGACGTCTGTGACTGCTTGAACTAACGCTACGGATTGAAAATGTGACAGAATGAACATCTCCAGTATGCATGCTGACTGCCTGTTTGATAGCTACTAAAAGAGTTCGGTGATTTGAGATCTAAAAATAAGTAACACAGCAGAAAAGAAACAAAAAAAAAAACAAGTTTCAAAGAGAAATGCAGGGGAAAGAAAGGACTGCAACAGCATTAAGGAAACCACTGCTGACCAAAAGGAAAATATGAGTCCTACCCATTCCAGATGATTCAGAGAACAAAAGACAATGCAAAGGTACCAGAGAAAGCACTGAGTGGAGCACAGATTCTGAGAATTAACAGCTGAAAAATCATTCTCAACAAGTAATAGACAATAAGTGGTCTGAGCAAACATTAGAACATTCCACCTGCACAGCTCCTAGATTTTTGCAAGACTAAGTTCACACCATGATATGAAACCCAGTCGGGTTAGAATGAAACAAAAACCACAAAGCCTCATTCCCTCCTTAGAACTGTTCAACATCTGCTGGATTTGCAGTGTCAGAGCAACAAAAGACATGCATCAGGCACGAGACAGCAAGCTGACCTCGATAAAGGGGTGAAAGTGAGCCGTTTCCCTGCAAGTGCATGGGCATTCATGAGGACAGTGACCAGAACAAGCACTGTGCTGACAGCACGACACACAGCCACGCTCCTGGGGTAGAAGTACAGAGGAACATAGAACAGATTGAGGGAATATGGGACAGGAGGGCAAAGAAATTAGCAAAAGCGCAGAGGAACAGATGAAGGCACTGAAGGAAAGAAGCTCCTGCCTACTCTCCGCTCCAGCCAGCCAGCTCAGAGCAGCTCGTGGGGTTTGGGAGGAAAGCAGCTGTTGAGTTTGAGAAGGCTGCTTCAGCACCGACCAGTGATTAAGGCATGAATCATCGCCAGCCCACAAATAGTAAGAGTCTACAGTCAAAATGTCAAGAATACAAAAAAGCAAACTGATGCTGAATCAATCTGTCTTGGAATTATTTCTAATTTGGTTACATAAAGTAACATGCAATTTTATTACGACATATCTACAAGTTGGGAATATTGCTTGTACTTCTCACAACACCACTGTCATTTGATATGTAGTGCAAAACCTGATACAACCTCCAGCTGCTTCTCTTTGGACTTTGAACATTGTTCTCAATCAACCACAGCACCCTACTTGACTACTACCTGTGCCAGAGCAGCAGCAGCGCTTCAGATTCCCACAGCTTAACAGCTCACAGAATCTCAATAGGAAAAAAAAAAAAGCAACTTTTGTGAAGTTCATTATTCATTCAGCTGGAAATGGTATGAGTATCTGGCAGAAAAATCACCAGAAAGGCACTCGCATCAAAGAGATCTCATGTAGTCCAGATGCTTCCTTTGTGTCCCAGTAGGTTCCTATAAAAGGGCTGCTTACATTTATTCCAGCGGTGTATTTTCAGTTGAAACATAATTAAGATATTATTTCCTTTTAGAGCTCATTTCTGGTTATCCTGTCATGCAAGAAAGATTGAAGCTAGAAATGTTTATGAAACAGCCTGATACGTTGCTTTAAATCCAACATCCATCCTTATCTAACACTCCTACATGGGGAAAAAAACAAGCAGTGTATATTAACACTTCAAGTTGGAATAAAGTCGAAGAAAATTGAAACTTCCTTTCTTATGTAACTATTTGTCTCAGTGATCTACCACGGTTTGCTTTAAACTGAAAACTACAACGGTTGCAAAACAATCTGGCACGGCTGAACAATCTGAATCTGAGCCTTCTGAACACGGTTCAAAGAAAGCTGGGATTCTTGACCCATTCCTGCCCACGCCATGATGATTCCAGGTCTCAACCTTTTCATGATTCAAATCCTGTTAGTCAAGCACAGCAACACTTCAGCTACTCTCCTGTATAATGGAAACCTATTAAAGGAGAAAGATGAATACCTGTTGTGCTCTAGAAAAAAAGCAAGCACCTATTATTAAAGGCAATTGTTTACGCTGGCCGCCTGCAAAGAGAACTTCGGTTACAATAGTTAATGATTCACTGTCTCCAAGTTGCACTAGAAACAATGACCACTGATAAAGACAACAAACCAAAGCTACTTTTATACAATCTGGGGCTTGCTACCATGTTCTCCTGCATAAATAAAACCTTCTTCAATATTTTTGTGCTATGGTGTGCGAGGAAAGGGCAGCAAGCCATCCCAATTCAGTCAGACACATCCCCAGCACTAAGTGACACAGGTACCTGCTATCCATGGGGCACCAACATGAAGAGCTAAAAATGCTGCTTCTTATCTAGAGGTTTATTTCTCACTGGAGAAGCAAACAAATATCCAGTAATTCACTCCCTTTGCTCATTTGGAAGGATCCTGTCAACTCGGTGCCATTTTGGGACCAGAACAGTGACCTTCATGCTTCAGACTTCCAATGTCTATGCCAGACACAAGAATGGAAAAATTCCTGAGGAGTTAATTCTTTCCTCTAATCACACCTTCTAATGTAACCATCACTCCCAGGAGGATACCTTCAACAACTGAAAGAGCAAGCAATATCACGCGCTTTGATCCTTATACACTTATACAACCTCAGGAGAGTACAGAAAAAACACACAAGAACTTTAGAAATACATTTATCTTTAAAGATCACAGTATTTACCCACTCTCCTGTTTCCAGGGAATGAATGAAAGCAAAGCAGATTCAATGTTTGAATTGCTTCTCCCAAGACAAGCCAGTCTTCAAGAAAACCTCTGACTTAGCATTTATCTGCCACCAATGGACTCAGACTGGGTGCAGGGTTTCAACAGCAGGAAGAGATAAGGCTCAGCACACTTCAGCTGCTGTTCTGACATGCTTCAGTATAAATCATGGAAAAAAGGAGACCAGAGTTCAACTCCAGGATGTAGGTGAGTACTGTAGGAGAGAATGGGATAAATTGCACTTGTACAGTGCAGCACCTACTGAATTCCCGATCCAGTCCCTGAAGACACATCCCTGCCAACTTGCAGGGATGAATTCATACAGTCAATCTCAGACTGTCTTTTTAGCATTGCTGATTTACATTAAGACAGTTGACATCTTGTTTCTCATTTCAAACGTGCAGGTGGATGAATGACCTCTGCCTTCATAAACATGACAGCATAGGATCATCATAATAGAAAGGATACTTTGCATCTGTACACTTGCCATTTGGCCAGATAGTTGCATCCATCCTAGTCACATGAAGCTTCTTATGGTTTACAGTCTACAGGAGGAAGGAAGTCTTGAGATAGCACTACAGAGGCTGACTACAAGTCCTGCAGGAGGGCTGACCTACCATGGCGAGACATCCCAGCACTCACATGAGTTCCTTTAGCACTTGCACTGCCTAGCACTGCTATGTCACACTACACAGCTAACATGCCCCTCAACGAAGCTGACAGCCCCAATAATTAAATAAGGATCACATGCCCAAGCCCACACTGGAGAAGCAGCAGCTAAGCCACATGCCCCTATGCAATGCTGAGCCACATCTGAAACTCCATCCACTGCTGGCAGGGCCACTGCCCCTGCTCTCACCCTTGGAAAGCAGCACTGGCAAGCAACAGTGCTGCCAAGTGACAAAGAGGGCAAAGACGCTGCTGCTCTCAGATTCAGCAGGACATCAGTGCATCTTGAAGTCAGATGCACAGCAAACACAATTAGAAACCATCCTACTCACTACAGAACAATCTGGAACCAGGTTACACAAAAAGTAAAATCTTCAAGCCAGGCTAAGCAGAAAGTCAAGGAGCATGCCTCAGACAAACTGTGTGACAAGAGCTGGCAGAGCCCTGGCCTTGTGAGCCAGAAGAGCTGCACGAGTCAGGACTGAGCAAGCCATCACGTGGTGACAGACCTGGCACCCACACGCACATTCAGGTCCCCTAACACTGTGCCAATACACTCAGAGAAGCCATCAAGTAAGGACAATGGTTAAGGGCAGCGTTTGATAAAGCCACATTTCAGAAGTTGCACAATATATAAGCAGTTGCATTTCATGAAAACCACTCAATACACAGTCACACATAACTAGCAACCCCAAGACACACTATCTATCAGCTATAATTTGTTAGCTAAGTTTCTCTCCCTGTAAGCTGCCATTCCCAAGAAACGTTTTGGCCTGTTACCAGAGCTCTTGTAATCAGCACATTTAATGCAAGTACAAACAGCAAAACACACTGGTACAAAGTTTGAAATTCCCCTTCAGACTAGGGTTGTGCAATTAGAGCACGAGGACTGTGCACCACTAATCCTGTGCCAGCATCATGGTACCTTTATCTCATTGTTTCCCCCTGGGTCTCAGACATTATTTACTCACTGACACTGAATCAATCAACATCTGACTAAACTTAGATTTTTTTTTGGAAATGTTTTCTCTGCCATGCCCGTGTTTTGGCACAAGAACTACTGGTGCTCTGGCATGGCAGAAGCAGAGGCAGCTCTGCTGGGCTTGACACACAGCACAGATGACATGCTGTGCTCAGCAGCACACAGATCTCTCTATATCACCATCTCACTATCAGTCAGGAAAATCATCAGGAAACACTTAACACTGACATGTGAAATATTCAGCTTAGTGCCTGCTGCTCACTGTGAAAGGAAACTGAAAGAATAACTAACGTGCAGGGAGGAAGGAAAAAAAAAAATCAAGCAGATATCAATCTCTTATCCCCAAGTCAAGGCCCTGCTGAATGCTTTCTCATTAGACCCACCCATGCTAATCCCTTAGCCGCCTGTGATCTTGCCTTAACCTGATCAGCGTTCCCTCTGATGACTAAGGGGTAGCAAACACCTGACAAGCTCCACTAAGGCCACGCTGCTCCTCACTGCTCACTGCCCCAGTCTCTGTCCTGCACAGGAAAATGGATGTTATCTGTGCTGTTTGCACCACAAAGCTCTCCCTTAAGATCCTGCCCACAGCAGAGGTTTGGAACCAGATCATCTTTAAGGCCCCCTCCAACTGAAGATGTTCTGTGCTTCTGTAGTTCTAAGATCCTAGGGAGAAGTGATGTCGGTGCGTCCATAAGAATAAAGCCGTGGCTGTTAGTAAACTGTTACTCGGTAGTAAAGTAAACTTGTCCATTGCCTCAACAGCTGAAGCAGCACACAGATTACACGCTAAGCAGTTAAACGGACTGAGCTATATTTGCAGTTGCTATTTGATCACAGGAGGGTTATCACAACCCCAGAACACATCAGCGGCGGCACTGCTTTAGAACTGCAGTCGGACTGGAACGCAAACAAGTCGTGCACCTCTAATGGAGCCGTACGACGAGCCCCCACCGAAGCAGCAGCTCGGTGCCGCGTGGGCTGCAGGCAGCAGGGCTGGCAGCCGTGCCCCTCAGCGACATCCCTCGGGTGTCACCCAGCCCAACTGCCGCGGCCAACAGTCACACAGCTGCCTGCCGCCCAGGCTGTCGCAATCCCCAAGCCCTCGGCACAGCGCTCCCGGACGCCGTGCTATTCGGGAAGCGCACTGCTGTTGCCGTTGCTGCCCTCACGGCAGCCATAAAGGGAGCAGCCGTACGGAGGAGCGAGCGGCCTCCCGGTGCCCTTCTCCCTTACCAGCCTACCACGCCCGGCGTTACCGCTGACGGCCACCCGCCCGCCCGCTCCCCCTTACCGAGCAGGACGGCCGCGAGCAGCGCCCGCGCCATGGCAGGGCAGGAGGCGCGAAGCGGCGGCAGAAGGGCAGGAAAAAGCGGGGGGCGGTGGCGCAGCACCGCGCTAGGGAAACAGGCGACAGCCCCGGTCGGTCATATGGCCTCTGACGTCACTCGCCCCGCCCGCGCGTCCTCACGTGATGTGTGAGACACTGAAAGGGAGGGGGGAGGTCTCGCGAGAGTGTGAGGAGTTTTCTCGCGGTTTTGCGGGGGTTGTTTTGGTTGGGAGTTTATGTGTGCTTGGTTCTGCGTGTGCGCTGGTACGGGTGGGAGTGGGGTGAGGGCACGGGGAGTGGTTGTTCTGCTCGCAAGGAACATAATGAGGCTGCACAGTTGGAAGGCAGCTTTGCAGGAAAGGAGCTGGAGAGATGAAGCTGAACATGAGTCAGCAGTGTTGTGTTTCCCACTATGAACACCAACAGCGTTCTTGGCTGTGCTAGGCAAAGTGCCCCCAGTGTGTCGTAGAATCATAGAATCACAAGGTTGGAAAGGACCTGCAAGATCATCTAGTCCAACTATCCTCCCATTACCCTTGCTACCACAAGCACTAAACCAGATCTCGTAGCTCCTCATCACGGCACCTCTTGAACGCTGCCAGGGACGGCGACTCCACCACCTCCCTGGGCAGCCATTCCAGTGCCTGACCACTCTCTGAGAGAAAAAGTTTTTCTTATGTCTAACCTAAACCTCCCCTGGTTTAGATTGGCCAACTTGTGGCCGTTTCCCCGGCTCCTGTTTGTTGCCTGGGAGAAGAGGCCAAACCCCTCATCACCACAACCTCCCTTCAGGAAGTTATAGAGAGTAATGAGGTCTCCCCTGAGCCTCCTCTTCTCCAGACTAAACAATCCCCTCAGCTGATCCTCATAAGACTCGTGCTCCAGACCCCTCACCAGTTTCGTTGCCCTTCTGTGGACAGGTTTCAGGGCCTCAATGTCTTTCCTGTAGTGAGGGGCCCAAAACTGAACACAGTACATGAGGTGCAGCCTCACCAGTGCTGAGTACAGAGGGATGATTAACTCTGCTCCTGATGGCCACACTATTTCTAATGCAGGCCAGGATGCTGAGAGAGTTGTCTTTCCCCTGTACTTGACACTGGTCAGACCTCACCTGGAGTGCTGAGTCCTGTGCAGGGCTCCTCAGTACAAGCAGGGCATGGATATATTGGAGAGAGTCCATCATAGGGCCATTGAATGGTCTGAAGCACCTCTGCTGTGAGGAGGGGCTGGGAGAGCTGGGGCTGCTGGGCATGGGGAAGGCTCAGGGGGATCTCAGCAATGTCCAGGAATACGTGAGGGAAGAATGCACAGAAGACACAGCCAGGCTCCTGTCAGAGGAGCCCAGTGCCAGGATAAGGGGCTATGGGCACAAACTGGCATATTGGGAAGGTGGTAGAGATAAGTGAAAGCAATTAAACCCACCTAAGCTCTATGTTGCCTTCAAAACGTGTTTAAAGGCAATCTGATGTGGGTAGAATACACGAAGGCCCAGCCGTATAAAATCACTGGAACTTAATGGTCTGTTATCTCTTTAAGTGATGTATCTGTGCATATATGTATCTCTTCCAATCCTAAACAGTGACCACTGAGTTGTCATTTTTCAGGTAAAATTTACTTTACTGTCACATAGCTTCTGATGTTGCCTGGTATTTTTATAGATTACATTTTTAAGAAATCCCTTCCCATTATTTTTGGGGAAGAAAAAAAAAAAGTAGTGTTGAGATCAGATGTTAATGCAGTAATGGAGATACAGAGCCCAGACATATGATCACTTTGTAATTCAATGTAATTCAATGCTCTTTCTTATCTGAATTGTTGAGGATATAGTTTCCTCATCTGAAACCTTACAAGGACTTATTTTACTATTTCTGGCATTAGAAAGTGTGCCAACAGCAGCATGCTTGTTTTCTCAAAATGACTGCCACATCATCCTTCTCATTACAGCATACTCTAGATTCATCAGGATCATTTCTGCTCCCAAGCTGCCTTTGCACATTTTCACTTAGTACTACGTGAAAATGCAGTTTAGCTACCAATAGCTGCTGAATCAAGGCCAGTTCTTCTAGACTGCTGGTCGTCTCAGTTCACTCACACTTCCTATTTTCATGAAAATTTCTAAAGATTAAGTGTGGCTTGGGGGTCTGCCTTTCTATTTTGATGATATTGCTATAAACAGACCTTATGTTACACTGCATTTTTATCTGTCCTTTCTAGAGACAGAGAAGTATTTTGTTTTTCATTTATTTATTTTTAACTCCTGCACTTGTAGCAGTCTTTATTCTCACCGTCTAATAGCAAAAGCAGAAGTTTATTACTCAGCTTAAAAAAGGACATAAGTAGCAGCAATGGTCAAGTGTTCAAATGAGTCATCTGCAGAGGAGTGGACGTTAATGGAAGTGGGACCTTGGTTGTTCCCATTTCTTTTAATCCCTGCTTTGAAACCTGCACTGGGAGTGAAGTAAGGTCTGTCAGAATACGATATGAAGAGAAAGGCCCCATGGCAAGTTTAAGTTTTCTACACGATAATCTTCCTTTCTACTGAAAAAAAAAAAAAAAAAAAGTAGGCATTTATAAGTTGAAAAATGATAGATTGTTGGATTACTACCAACTCTTATCAACATATATGTTGCATCAAGCAATAACATTATGGCAAGAAGTTGGTAATTATAAAACATAAGACTCCAGCAGTAAATGATGTTGATCTTACATACTGTGGATCATTAGCTTTTATAGCAGTGTAGAAACTGCACTATATCCAAGCTCCACATTATTGCCAGCAGTTCTGACTTGGTGTTTGTTAGTCTATTTTCCTAATGAAACATGTCTCATGCAAACATATTGGCCATCAGCCTCACTGCTCTAATATTTGTTGGCCAACACCAAGCAAACTTGATAGCAGTGTAAGATATAAACAAATGTAAAATGCTGCTTCTGTGAAGGCTGGTATGCAGATGAAACCCAGAGACCCAAATGAGTGCTGTCACCAAGGGAAAAACAGTCCTTACCCAGCCCTCATGTATTTTATTTGAGATGCTGAGCAGTGTGTGCAGTTCCAGATACACCTTGTCTCTGGCACCAAACATGGATGCAGAATGGCTCTTTAAGGGGGAGAACAGAGGAAATGTCCACACTGAGAGAGACAGTACAAACTGGTGTGCAAAGCTCAGGCAGAATGCTAGAATGGAAGACAGAATACAGATTGAGAATTTTTTTCTTGGAAAGAACTTCCGTGAAACATGACTCCATTTTTTGCTTTTGCTGAACATTATCTCACTTCACAGGGTTATTTTCTTTTCAAAGAAGTTTGTCCAGAAATAGATAATTGAATCTATAGTTCAGAGTCCGCTTTCCATAGTACACCTGTCAAAGACCATAAACCTCCAAGTAGGTCTCTTTGCATAACAAATTGACACACTAAACTTCACCAAAGGTTGTGTAATTTTTTTTTTTTTTTTCAAAGAGACACAGCACTAAGATTGGCAGAAAGAAGGAAGCTGAAGCAGACCAAAGGAGTTAGATCATAAACACGGGTTTAGACAAGGTAATACAAGGTGAGATAAAAGACAGAATGAAGGCAACATGGCACGAGGAGTGGGCAGGAAGAAGGTTGTTAGTGGCTGACAGCAAAACTTTAATTGCCAGACTCGGGCAGAACCTACAACCATCAGCCATCGACTTGTGTTTACACACTGCTTTCCTTCAGAAAACATCGAGATGAAAAACTGGCTTTTTTAAAAACATGTAATATATGCCTGGTTGAATTAAACTGAAGGTTTAAGATAAATTGAATCAAATTGGAAGATTTTGGCAAGATCCATGGATTCTTCCTTGTATCCCGGACTCCTGCTGTTATTTTTATTATTCCATAGATGAGGATTGCTACACAATTTGCTCCAAGGATGTTGAACTACCCTGATTCAGGCTTTCAAGACATTTTCTACCAAATGTAGATGTACTGCAGATTAAATCTATTATTTTGCTGCAGCCTGATGTCTTCATCACTAAGCAATCTTCCAGGAAGAAATTTTTAGCAATGTCATCCATGCGGTCACAGATACGCCCATGGGGCATAGTGAACCAAACAGCCACTATCAACCAAAATGGTTGAGACAGGCTGCTCAACCGAATTCTATCAGCAGCCTACCAAAAAAACCCCAAAACAAACAAGCAAACAAACAAAAAAATCAACAACAACCAAGTGCAGATATTTTGAATGAAATAGAATAGTGATTACCATGCTGACTGATAAGCTAACCACTTTCCTATTTGCTCAGCATGTACAGAATTCCAGGAGGAGAAGTTTAAGGAAGCCAAATTGAAAATGAAGGCCACAGAACAAGAGCTGTGACCACAGCTGTCAATCTCCGAAAGCTTTTGAACCTCTGAATCCACTTTCAGAGCACTTTGGAAGAGTTAAAATCTTAAGACTGAATTACATCTTTGTAGGTTGTGCTGGGTAAGGAGAGTAGAACCAACTCTGTTGGTTTTCTTTTAGTTCCTATCAAGAGAAATGCAGAACTATGCAGAATAACTCCATGGCACTGCCTCTTGAGATTATTTATGGAGAAGGTGGGGGAGAATACAGTTAGGGACAAAGGGCATACATCACAGAATGACAGGCTTCAATATTGCCACTGCTCATGGAACAACTCATTTCTAATTGCTACAGCAAAGTAATTAGGCCAAGGAGTCCTAGGCTGCGGTAACTAAGAAAAATTACACATCTCAGCACTTTTTATCACTCAATTAACATCTCTTTGCAAGGCAGAATTGGTTAATCTTCAGGATAGCACCACTGCTCTTAATAAACCTACTGAACCAGGAAGATGGCTTCAGAAAGGGAAGGCAATACATGCACACTGCTTCGTATCAGTTTATCAGTTACTGTCTAAAACTGCCAACTTTTTATGTGGTTAAAGCCTCTGCCCATTACATTTCCGAGGCGCACGTTCCTGCTTGTTTTAGAAGTCTAGAAAGATGGAGCTGACTGGGTTTTGCAGGTGTGGAAATAAACTCAAGTGCCACATTCTAACAAAGGCTAAGAAATCTAATATGCATCAAAGATTTTATTTGAATTAACTGGGTTCAAATATTAAAATAAGTCTACATTAAATTACAATATTAAAT